GCTATCAACCATCCGTGGGACCGGTCGATCGGTTTCTACTGTTACAGGAGAAATCAAGTTCGAAATGGAAGAAAAACTTCTAACCGTGAGTGAAATATAAGAAACGTTCGCATCGCTGCGGAAATACAAGTTGCAGGGTGGAGAAGATGAAAGCAGACAAGTATAGCGTGGGCGGCAGAAAATCTGTAGAAGCTTACCCGAGTATCGTTGTCGGTGGTATCACGGTGGTAGCAGGTGCGATGGCTGGTGCTGGCGCTGGAAAAACTGGCGGACCAGGTGGCGGACGACCTCCTCCCGCGGGGCTGTAAATTTCATAATTAACAGTGAATCTCGTTTGTCAATGATGAGCTACGATACTACGGTGAATCGTAATTTTGCAATTTTATGAAAATCGTATGGGAATTCTCGATATAGAATACTCAAATTTTGCACATGGTTACAATTGACTTATTCGATTCTGTATGTCAAAAATTATTTATTAGTGACATTAGATTAAAAAAAAATTAAAGATCGATAAAATCTTCCTTGCACAGCATCTAAAATGAACAAAAATAGAGCTTCATAAAACTCTATTAAAAAGAAGTCCAAAAAGCTGATCCTCAATTCATGCTACAATTAAAAAAATAATAAAATCCCTTTTGTTTCAAATCACTCCATCACGAAAAAGAACTGTACATTCTTTGAATCGAAACTTCCGTATCGAGTACCCATTCACAGAGAAGCATTATCAAAAATAGCGATTCCGAACTATTCCTTCATCAAAAAACGATCAATCGTTTCACGGACGCAGATTCTTCGTCCGCGGAACGTGCGGGGCCTCATCACGCTGGACAGTAAATTTGTCTGACAGAAATAATCCTGTTTAAAGCGAGTGCTGCCCGTGATCGGGTGTTCTGGGGCGATTTAGCCTAACGGAAAAGATAAACACGCGCGTTCCCATTGAAGTTTCAATCCGTCGACCGCTCGTTACACGTGTTTGCTCGGCGGAACGCAGCCGAAAGAGTAACGGCCCGGATTAGTCGTGTGATCGACTTCCAATTAAATCGTTTTAATGAATCTCCGAACGGCCAGGGTGCTCGGCGAACGCCGGTGACCGCGCGGCCGCTAAACTAAACACCGGCGTCGAGATTTATAACGCTCGACGAGTCCGCTTCGGTCTCACTTTAATTAATGGTTGGCCGGCGTCGAGAAAAACGTGGCTCGAATTGAATTCTGGCTCGTTTCTGTTCCCCCGGATCGCTCGGATTCAATTCTCGACGATTGATGGAGCTCTCTGAACGATCGTTAGCGATGGATGATTAATTTGAAACGGTCGGATCGTTTAATTAGAACTAAGCGGGATGTTCGCCAGTTTTCGCCAGCGCAAACTATAAATATTATAGCGATACTTCGGATTAAATTAAACTGGATTTTTAAAAATTCTGTTTTCTGAGCTTGGTTTACGGCATGTTTCGTAAACTTTACTGTTACAAACTAGATACTCACAGGTTTTCAGTTAATTCAGTTTAATTTAATCCTTGGTACCGCTGTGTGCAGATTTGTGAGAGATGCTCTCTGGACAGAAACGGGACTTTTACAATTATGCGCTAGAAGAATCAGAGGAAACGCTCTTTCCATCTATCAATCACATTATGGTACGTTTCTAAATAAACTAACCGACATTGAAATTTTCGAATCTTCAAATTAATGAAGATTGCGGCCAATCAACCCCGTCCAACTTAACGCAACCATGAAACACTGATAAGCAATCTTTTCAATTGTAAGATAAAAACAGAATTACAGAAAACAACGCGTTCTTACTGCAAGGGTTGCTGATGGCGATTATTATGCGGTGGCGGTGCCTGCGCCGCGGATGCTGCAGGTGCGTTGTTCGCGCTGCTGACACGGTGGACGTGCAGCTGGTGCATCTGCAACTGCGCCGCGTCCTCGCCTAGGAACGAGCACCTCGAACACTGCCGCCTGTTGTGAACTTTCAACACGTGAGTTGCCAAACGCTCGGCTCGTGCAGCTTTGTACTCGCACAGGGTGCACGCGAACGGCTTCAAATGCGTGTTTAGATGCCGTTTAAGGCACCAATTGTCTACGCCGCTCCAGGAGCAGTAGCAGCAGGTGTACCTGAAAACAAGGAATCAATCAGTCGGACGTACTAACCGTTGTTTACCCTTAAACTCATTTTTTTCGGTGTAAACCACAACTGTTGTCAGACAAACCAGTCATCACTTTTTAAGCAATAAACAACTGATTAGTAAAGAATCTTTCACGAATAGATAGATAATTAATCAATCTTTATCTTGAACAACAATTCGTAAAAATAACTAACAAATAAAAGATAAAAATATTAAACATTCAGTTCTTCTTATTATTCAAATATGACGCATTAAGTTATTATATGTTACAATACAAGAAATATTAAAACGAAAAGACACTTAAGGTGTCTATAAACAGGGAAATCAAAATCAGAAAACGGGAAACTCAACAGAAGATTCCGCACCTCCGCTCTTGTGCGCCTTTAGAACCACCCTTGAGATGGCTCTTACTGTTGCATCCGCCATTTTGGACCCTTCTAGCAGTACCGCAGTTCGCCGCGTCTGGTTGCATGATGCTGGGCGCAGGCATCGACGTCGCCTGATAAATCCCTGTGGTTGTAGTCGTTCCGTTACCAGGGTTTGGCTGCAACTGGTAACTCTTGTTATTGTTGAACCCAGATGCATAGCTCGTGTGCTGTTGCTGTTGCTGCTGGCCGTTCGCGTTGCCGTTGCCTGTATTTCCCGTGGTCGAGTCCTGCTGGAGCGGCTTGGGCGCGCTGGATCCAGCAGGTCTTCGTATCCTGGACAGCTCGTAGCCGTGTTCCCGGTGCATCCTTAAGAAATGTTTCTTCACGTGATCGGCACGGTTGAACGGCTTGTAGCATATGTAACAGTGAAACGGCTTCTCCTCGCGGTGGATGTTCTCGTGGCGCGTGTACAAGTCCCGTCGATCGGTTCCGTAGGGACAATAGGGACATGTGTACCTTTTCCCGCTGGCAGACACCGCAGCGGACGTCGGCATTGTCGTCGTTGTCTGAAAAAACAATTATCTTTGTACAAACTGTTTGCGCGGAATCCATTCGCGGGTCTTAAAGATAATTTTCGTTACAGCGACAATGAAATCGGTCTTGTGTCAGGCGAGAATATCATTACCAATGAAATATATCTAAAATGTAATATACATTGTTATTAGCATTGGTATCGGTATATTGAAAATTGACATACGATACTGAATAAAGATCGAAAGAAACGAAGTCAGGCGCAACGTTCGTTACTTGCATTCAGTGATTACAGCTTCTTTGAACGACCAAAGTAACAATTAGAATTTTCTTGACAGGTTGGATTTGGACTCGATAGTTTGGCTTCTTTGAACGATCAAAGTAACAATTAGAATTTTCTTAAGGTTAAGATTTCAAAGTTTTCTCAATTGTACCTGGTGAAGGTGTTGCGGCGATGGGGTTGAAGGTAACTCTTGCAACAGGAAAGTCGACGTAACAGGCAATAAGGCGGCAGGTACTGTTTGAGTTTCCTGCGTCCGTCTTGACGGTGGTGCTACACGTTCGGCTCGCTCCCGTAGCCTCTCCAGGTATGAAATCACGTCTTCGATCTTGAGCTCCGACTGCAGATAGTCTTTGCGAGGAGAGTGATGCCTGTTCCTGTTGTCGTCAGCGAGTATCCTCGAGGAGTGAAGTTCCATAAAGTGCTCGGCCACGTCGCGGGGGCCACCTCCCATCACATCGCCTGTCGGACAATGTGGATTTGTCAATTTTCCTCGAAATGTACGTGTACCCCACCCTTAATAACGCCTCCTTACCCTCACCCTTCGATTTTCTTTTCCCACCGGACATTATCTTCGGACGTACTATTGTGATTTTTCTCGAATAGTTACATCATGTTACATCACTGATTTTCTTTACTTTCAAACAGCTGTTTACATGCAAATCATTTCTTCGAATATTTATATAAGTAAGTTTGATTTTTATTTAAACCCTCGGTGAAAGCTTCACAGTGATTTGAAAAATAATAGTACCCACTGTTAATTAACGTTACTTAATTTTAAACTTATTTTCACTGAATGCACGATTCCTTTTTCCAATTAATTATCAACCCCTTGCCCTGCGATATCTTTCTTAACCATGATCGATGCAACTACTTTACCATTAATATTTTATTTAAAAAAAGAATTCTAGAAACATTTTATGTCCATGTTTCCTCTAAAGTATATTAATCGATAACAAAACCATTACACTTAATTTAAACTCGAAAAGATTAAATAATATTTATGTTTGTTAACTGTTTGAAATCTTCACCACGAGCATGACACGATATTATGAAACAAGGGGTTAATAACGAAATAACCCTTGCCTGCTCGATAAGAAAATCACTACCACAGTACCACCATTAAAAAACGGAAACTTATGTTTCCAACAAACAAATTAAATTGTCAAGCATCAACCCACGGAACAATAATATTCGTTGCAACAGAAGATACCGACCTGTCTTCCCTCGACCAGTCAAATCTCCGTCTAGATCTCATTCAATTACCGAGACATAAACGTAACACTTTCCGGGACACCGCGCGAGGGTTAAAAGCAAATATCAATTATCCTCCCCTGCCCTCAGCCCGGTATCCGCGTCAAATCTCATCGCGTCGAAAACGGCGAGAAAGTGTCCGTCGGTTGATTCACTCACTTAGTACTCGAAGATACAACGAGCCCCATTAATTCCGTGTACCGGTGCGCTCAGCCACGTAATTGGTTAAATTCGCCGTGTAACGGAACGAAATGCCCGCTTTAACAGGGTCCGGTCGAGAGTTCGTCGAACGTGACGCAGCTCAGAGCGCGAAAACTAAATAACGAGCCTCCACCCCACCCGAAGACTAAAGAAACTTTAAAGCTCGGTCGCGTAAAACGCAGTTGTCGTTATGCGGACGCAACGATTTTTCCGGTTACAACAGCTCACCCGGCATCCTCGGCTCGACTCGATGACACGGAATAAGTTGGAGAATTACCGGGCGGATAATAAAACCCCTTTTTGTCCCGAGAGGTACCTGTACCTCCCGGGTAGGCAGCGACTCGTTATTGTTTACCACTTCGATTCCGTGTCAATCTGCCAAGCCTGCGGAAGGGGAAGGGGTGGGGGTCTCTTTCGTGTTCAGTGGCCCGTTATTTCCACGATACGTTTCCCCCATTTGCGACCATCGGCCCTCAACGTTGTAGCATAGTAATTAAACGAGAGCCCTCCTCGCACCGGGGAAACTCGTGGCGAACGTCTACAATGATCCTTCCAACAGCGAACGTTTCACGGAATTCATTTCGTTAACCCGTTCACGCCCTCACAGTTAAATGGTAATTTTAATGTCAGCTGTTTGGCGTCGCTAACCGAACACTTCTGGCGGGGGGAAATCGAGATTGCGCGGATCTTTGGTTGGACTTTCCAGAATGTTTGTTGTTCGTTGAGGTAAATTAAGGTACAGGTAAAATTCCACGGGGTGTATTCGGTGACGTCAATGGTGACGGTAATGATTGTGTGTCTAAGTGGGAGGTTCTTGGACGTAAAGAAAGGAGGATTAGTCGGATTAGTTGAAGCGTTTAATTTGTCATTATAGATACTTAACATTAGATTTACGGGCGTTTATTCTACAATTTATTCTATTGTTCTTCGGAAACTGCGTGTTTGTCTATATAAATCACGAAAATTGTAGCTTCAAAACCGGAGTATTGCAATGCGTATTCGCATAATTGCACGAATCAGAATCGACTTAAACTGTTACTAAATAATATTTAAAACATTTAATATCCATCGAATTGACGGGACCCATAAATCTAGCATTAATTTTGTTTTGAGAATTGATTTTGCGAAGAAATTTAGGTGTAAGTATTAAATTTCGTTCTTTACGTTGCAGTTATGAGTGTCCCGGAATGACTCGAGCATTGGATTCGAGAAAATTCGATAAGGAAGATATACGAACCACATTCGTAGCACCTCCACGTCGCTTTTCCAGCATGGTAAGCTGCGATACGGCTTCCATCGGTCCCCTTAAGCGGCTCCTCTTCACACGTCCAGTTTCCATCGTCGCTTCCGTCGGTGCCGTTTCCGGTGTCCTCGTCGTTCTTATAGGACACCGACGTCTCGAACTCGTTCTGTACGCTCGACGCTGCACAAAGAACAAATTGTAGATTGCACTTCTTCAGCGGAAGAAATTGAATCACACCTCGTATAACACGGTTCAAGACTTGCCAGAAAAATCTTATCTTTCTTTATGTTAATGAGAAGTTTTGAGTCGAAACGAAATATTCAAGTTGCTTCTATAAAGATAATTTATGTTTATCAAACAAACTGTTAAACAGGATTGATATTTCGTAGAAATAATTTTTATCGAGTGCAGTAGACATGTGGTGCAACCGAACAGAAGGTGATTCCGCGTAAAAGAACAAGCCGCGGGGAAAATGAAAGTTTATTCGTTTGAAACTTCGATTTTGTTTCGTAGACGTACTAATAGAAACATACCAAAAACAAACAAAAAGTAAATCTACAGATACGATCGTATCATCGAAGAATTTGAACATGTTAGTAGCTTATACACCTAGAATCGTTAACATGAGAATCTGTTTACAAGCAGACATACGTTCGATATGACATTGCAAATCAAACACTCGAGAGCTCCTTAATTTTCGAAGGTTGATTTTCCTTGATGAATTCCTTCACGAACAAATTTTAGTCTTTTCTCTTTATTCACTTTTTCATCAAGAATCATCCCCTCCCCGACTGTACCACGCGCCCTGTCATAAGCTATTTATTATAAAAAGCTGAACATTTCTTCTTAAATCTGTAAAATAACACTTAATCCAATCCTAATCCTCCGCCGGAAATTAGAGGTCATAAAAGTTCTGTTGAAACTTTGATTGTTTAGCGTCGTTAAACTGCTGAGAAAAACTGCCTGGACCCTTCGATTAAAACTGCCATGGCCATAGGATTAGACACGTCACATATAAGCAGGGTATCAGTACAGTCCTAAAATGAAATAATGTTTGTTCCTTTACTGTTGACCATATTGCCGTCCTTCGTTAACCTTTCGGAATTATTCACTGCAGTATGGCAATGTGGAAGGACACACTATTAAAAAAGTTGTTTCTTATATTTCGTAGTTTGTTCACAATTCATCTTTATACATCAGTTACAAGTTTACTTTCCAAAATAATGTTTTACTTTATTTTCCACTGACACAACCGAGTCGAAAATGCAAATTGAAGTCTTAAAAATATAAATATACTCTTTCAAGGACTGACAAATTTCTTCATATTTTATCGAAGGATCGTAGTCTCACGCGTAAAACCGTAGAATATCTTTTTCCAATATTTGTTTATTATAAAGTTATGCAGCTTCAAACAAAATATTATTTCTTCGTAGTTGCACTTCGATTTGAAATTTGTATTGCAAACTGATATGAAGATTTGACCAAAGTGTTATTTGTGTATTAAATTATAGACTGCAGTAAGCATCTGGGAATTTTTTTCGATTTCTACAGACATCCCAAGGAAAAGTTATGCCTGACGATCAATGGTCCATATTGCCGACCGCGTCGGTGGAAAACCACATTGCCGGCGGAGGGTTAATTGTTTGCTGTGTTATATAAGGTTAACTGAAAATTAAATGCAAACAGTTGGGAAGTAAATGGATAATATTTATATTGTATCTAGAGCAGCATCTCAATGAAACGAAACGAAAACTTCATCGTAACAGAGCAGAACATTGCAGAGGCGCGGCAATTCAACTAAAATTCCGTAATAATACAGCCGCCGTTAATTTGCATATATTTTAAATATCCATTTACTTCTCCCTCGGTCTAATGCTACATACTCTTCGTTTAAACTGCGGGTTTCATGCATTAATACCGCCCTCCAATATGCAATATGCAGAATAGAACAACAATTTTGAATAAAATCCAATAAAGCTTTTATTATCGTTACTCGACTTTTACCTTAAACGAACTTGTAACCACCAAAACGGGCTTATCTTGTGCATTATCATTGCCGTAACCATTTACCGCAAAATGGAATTTCAAATGAGGAAACCTTCTAAATACGTTTAAATAAATATCAACACGACGACCGCCACGCTGGTCACAGTTAATAGATTATCTTGCACTACTTGAAAGTGCAGCAATGCATAGATTCTATATAATACGAAAAAGTGTATGAAATATCCAAAATGCAGTTGTTATGGTAATTATTATAACAGAAATATTTCCCATTGTAATGCTATTTTTCCAATAATATATTCGAGTATTCGAATTCGCGAAAAAATCCCTGGCCCGCTGATTGAAATGATTACAATCATGGAAATGTGAATAATTATTAAAAGAAAGTCTTACTTCTGTGGTCAGGATCTTCGCCGTAGAGTTTCCTGGTAATTTCCTTGAACATATCCTCGTAGCAGTCGAGCCTGCTAATTCCGGTGCCGCTGCCCTCCATTTTTGAAGAGCTCGGCGGTCAACTACTATATCCTTGGAACAATAAACCCTCACCGCTCGGCTACCTGCGCACGAGGTGAAGGCTCGTAAGTTGGGTTACAACTAATACATAATCCATCCGAAACCCTCTCCACCCTCCCACAGAGCTCATTCGCCCACCGCTCCAGGCTGACCTTAACCTCTTAGCTGTAAATGACGAGCGCACTCGTCACGAAGAAATGGCAATTTATCTGTAATGACCGAGACATCGTTAAAATCTTGCGCTGGAAAGGCATACCACTCACGTCGAGATGTTACCAGAATTGCCAGTGACATGTTACAGACATCGATAGTCTTGTTGCATTATACCTACTAGATTCTTCGAAATCTATCACTCCGTACGAAATAAGATAAACGAAATCCTTCGCGCGACATTGCCAAATCTATGAATTAATTTCCAGCGTAAGAGGTTAACACTTTATCTGCAGGTCGCTGAAAATTCGAGCATTTTTTAAAATTTTGAACATACATGCGTTAACACTAACCGTATCGGTCAAATGACCGAACCTAACATTCTGCGTCTTGTTTTGGTCATTTGATTTTATATCAATTCCTATATTGTCCGATTAATTTTTTTCAATTTTCATCTTTCTTTTTGTTTCTGTTCCCACTAAAAAAGATGTATCGTCTAATTTGTTTGTCTCTGTTTTGTAGCCAGTTATTTGACTAGTTACGGTAGGAAAAGTGCCATTATCTCGTTAAAATAAAGTGACGCGTTGTAAGAAATCTCCTGGAAACTGGGAAACATGTTGCGAATAATCGAATGCTGTGGATGTTCGAACGGTATGGCGAAGAAAAATTGAATTTCTTCTAATTGTAAAAGCGAAAGGTAGTCCACATTTCGTATAAGCCTGCACGTATTCGGGTTGTAGATTAAGTGTTAATTAAGAAAAGAGAAGAACTAGTGTTATGTGCTTGAAAGTTAACCCTCTGGACGCCGAATTTTTGCTTGTGACTATAAAAATATATGTGTAAAATAAAATGAACAAATATCAACCTGCAAATATAAATGAACAGTGTACTCAATAGCTTTAATAATTGTACGTAAATAAATATACCTTGCAATATTTCTATTACAATGACGCTGAACTTTCGCGCCTGAGCATACAAAAGATTGAGTTAATTAATTACTGAGTTTTATTCGGCACATTGCCGTGCAAAATGAAATGAATCAACAAAACACCAATATATTGGTGTGTGACTTCAAAGTCACACGGGCCTGTAGAGGGTTAACACGTTAAATGCTGCGCGATTTGATGCAGTAAAATGCACAAAATGGTAAAGATATACTATTAAATCATTTGATTGACTTGCAGTATTACTATTGCACGTTCATCTAGCTGACTGTCATCGCATTAGCTAGCATTCTCTGTAATATAGAAATGTTTCTAAATAATAAACATTTAACTGAATGAACCATAGTGATTCAATTTAATTGGCATTCAACGTGCCAATTCAATTTCACAGATCTTACATATACCCTGTGTTTGACGAGTACAATCGTTGTCGCATCGTTGTAGAGGCACAGTGTAGACATACACACTTCGAAAAGCGACAGTACAGCTAAGAGGTTACCCTTTCGCGCGCACCTCTTTCGCCGTCTTCGGAGAATGTAACCCTTTTTCCGGGGCTGAATCGATGAAAGGTGCTACGGTAATTGGGTCATCGAACCTTAATTAAATCCTCGAGGACGGGGCTCGGGGATTCGGGGAAGCGACGAGACGATTCAACGTTTCCTGTCGGCCAGCCCCGTCGCGCAAATTACACCTCCGCCCGCGCGGAAAATCTCCGGCGGTGAATAATGAAGCGTTCGGCAAGGGAAAGTGAGATCTGCGAGAGGATTATTAAGCGAATTGATAGGTAATTTGCTACGCTCTGCCGTATTCGATAGTTTGCTTTTGTAAGTGATTGAGCTGTAACATTATGTAATACTGAACAGCAGTAGATAAGCCCGTATCGAAATACGGCAAATTTCAGTATTGCGAAAGTAACGGTAAATAATATTATATTTGCTTGAAAGGATTTTAATTGGCAAATGCAATTATCTTTCAAATGTAAGCTGCGCTGCAATGTTAATGAAACTGCAGTGAATTATTTAATAGATTCCCCTAATTTTGTACTAGATAAGTAGAATAAAATAATGATTCCTTTGTAGAAACCGTTATTATAAGTTTGATATAGAAAATGTAATGGAGAAAGTATGAATAAAACTTTCCTTTGAAAGCCTATTCTTATGGAACGTTTCTTATTATCTTTCACGGGTCTTGTAGGAACCTAGGAGAACGTGATATCGCCGATTAACTGAATAATAAATTACGTATGCGCTAGTAGGAACAATGGAACACCTTCATAGATATCATAGGAAGCTACGAAAAATTTCGAACATACCGTGTAATCTGTGAGAAAGGAGCTGACTGAAAGTAAACGCTCGGCGAGACTCCCTTCCATCCCACCCTCACTTCATTCTCTCCCCTTCGCCCTTATCTTCTATATATTCAGCTGCACCACACACATAGAATATATCTGAGTAAAACGGTTTCCTCCCGGAAGCAGAACTCCATATTCAGATTCACGTGGTTCAAGAATGCATCAGGTTCAAAGCATCAGAAATGATTAAACGAACGGAAAATATTTCCCGACACAACTTTGTAATCTATAATCAACAAGCAGATAAATATTCACAGCACTAAATGATCGGAAAACGGAATCAACGATTTCCAATATTTGTCTGGGAAGTGTAATCATATTCAACCAAACACTTTCATATGAATCTATTAAAATATTTTAAATTCCACTGAAAGTAATATTCGTTTCAATAGATCAGTTAAATGCGATGAATTCAATGAATTTAATTTACATCAACGGAGTAAGTAAATGAAACCAATTCCATTCTCCAATTCCGATAAGACAGTTAGCGCGTAATATGTTTCGAAATTGCGACAGAAGAGATTCCTCTCGCGTTTCCGTCGTAAATAGAGGGTTGACGCGCACGCAAGTTCCGAGGAACGCGTCGAAACGCGAAAGCTACATGTCGGATGCGTTAACGAGCACTTCGACGAGGGTGGCTCGGCGACGTTAGAATCGGGGTTGTTACGAAGCGTTTAGGAACAGCGATCGACATTACGGATCTTCAATTAGAGTCTCTCGGAAATCAAGTACACCGGCGCGATGTGATTATTATGCGCGGCGGGCGTGACCCGCGCGACCTCCCGAGACGACCGTTTATCGGCCTCGAGGAAACTCCGGCCCGTAGACACTCTAATTTCATCGAGAAGTCTAATGCCTTGATAGAATTAACTGATTGGATCGCTCCGATCAATCATAATGCTTTGATATGCTTCGTGAATAAATATTTTTAATTCAGCATTCTTCCGCTTTTGTTTTTCTCCTAATTTTTTAATTAATTTACCGACGTTTCTCTTTATCGATATCGATCGATCCTTTCTTTAAAAGTTTGATGTCGATTGTGTAACATCAATAAGTATAGGTAATTATTATGAAATATGTTATGATTCTTTAAAATCGTATTTTCTAAATATTATAATCGTTTAATAGAAATAATGTAATTAATTAAAGCATCGAAAGAAGAGACAATGGCTTTGGTGATATTAATTGGAACATATATGTACGATATGAAAAGAGCTGCAACCTAAATGAATAAAAAGATCTTAAACTGTTTGAATACATACGATTCCAAGTCTTTGTGTATTTTCAATTTAAATTTCCCCGTAGAAATCGCTCGAGGATATTTAAGGGCGGAAGGAAACAGTGGAGAAATAATGGAGGGTACCGGGAAAGCACTTGAGGTAGCGCAATATCC